GAGGAGGAGGAGGAGGAGGGACCTCCCACGTTGGGGGGTGGCCCAGAACGTATCATCCCTTACATGTGGGCAGCCGATCCCCGCCACAAGCCCATCGCCCCTTGAGTCGCTATCGCTTGCTTCAGTCTGTCCTTGGGCAAAGCCCTCCCCTCATGGCCTTGCGGGCAGGGGTGGAGTCCACCCCTGCCCCAGTTTGGACGCCCGAAATGGGCACGGAAAAAATGGGGGCACAATGCCCCCCAAAAATTGTTCTCCAAAACCGACAACGGTCGCAGTGGGGCAAGCGACATTCTGTAAGTGGACACCGTCCGCGGCGACACCGACAGCGAGCCCTGTTCAAAATAATCCGGAATTTCCTTCGTTCTTTTTACCCATTCTTTTCGTACCTGTTCCGGTTGTCCCGACCCAGGGCTGGCGGTCCCAGGACCCAGAAATGGCTTCCGCTAGGCCCAAAACGTCCAAAAACTGGCCGTATCGAGTTTTGTTGGCGCTGACTGAGTCTGCGGGGAGCGACCGCTCTGGCGGCCCCGCCCCAGCGCCTCCGCCCGGGCGGTCCTGGGGCCCAGAGAGCCAGATGTCCATCCGCACGGAGTCCGCGAGGTCGTGGAACACCGGGGGAGGGACAACTCTCATTCAGACTCAGCGTCAAGACATGCACACCAGGCGGCACCAATGACAGGGGGGAGGGTCCCCCTCCCCCTCCTCCTCTTCCTCCTCCCCCTCCTCCACCTCCTCCTCCTGCTCCTCCTCCTCCTGAACCTCCTCCTCCTCCTCCCCCTCCTCTGCCTCCGCCTCCTCCTCCTCCTCCTCCTCCTCCTCTTCCTCCCCCCTCTTCCTCCTCCCCTCCTCCTCTGATCCCCCTCCTCCTCCTCCTCCGCCTCAACTCCTCCTCCTCCTTCACTCCTCCTCCTCCTCCCGTCCTCCTCGTCCTCCTCGTCCTCTCCTCGTCCTCCTCCTCTCCTCCGCCTCCTCCTCCTCCTCCTCCTCTCCTCCTCTCTCCTCCTCCTCCTCCTCCTCCATTCCTCCTCCTCCTCCTCCTCCTCATCCTCCTCCTCCTCCCTCTTCCTCCTCCTCCTCCTCCTCCTCCTCCTCCACTTCCTCCTCCTCTTCCTTCTCATCCTCCTCCTCCTCCTCATCCTCCTCCTCATCCTACTCCTCCTACTCCTCCCCCTCCCCTCTCTCTGGCTCCTCCTCCTCCACGGGAGGGAGGGAAGAGGGGAGGAAAGAGCAGGGAGGAGCAGGAAGGAGTAGGGGGCGCGGGGAGGTGGAGGGGAGGGGAGAGGAGCGGTGGGTGAGAGGGCGGGAGGGGGAGAAGAACGGGCTCCGTCGTGCCTCTTCTCTCGTCTTCTGCTCTTTCGCTCCCTGCCTGTATTAGCTTCCTGCGGAAGAGGTTCGCTCTCGCCCCGCAGATCAAAAACTGTATTAGCTTCCGGTGCAGCCCGCCGCTCGCTTTGACCAACGCCTGACCGTCTCGCACACCCTGGCTCCCGCGGGCTTACAGTGTGTGCGTGTGCGTGGTTGTGTGCGCGAGGATGGGCATTTCACAAGGCGTGCTCTAAGTGAATGACTCTCCATGACGGAGACGAGGCGTCAGAAAACGAAGCTCAAGATAGGAACCGGGCGGGGGCCTCATCCTCCTCCTCCTCCCTCTTCCTCCTCCTCCTCCTCCTCCTCCTCCTCCACTTCCTCCTCCTCTTCCTTCTCATCCTCCTCCTCCTCCTCATCCTCCTCCTCATCCTACTCCTCCTACTCCTCCCCCTCCCCTCTCTCTGGCTCCTCCTCCTCCACGGGAGGGAGGGAAGAGGGGAGGAAAGAGCAGGGAGGAGCAGGAAGGAGTAGGGGGCGCGGGGAGGTGGAGGGGAGGGGAGAGGAGCGGTGGGTGAGAGGGCGGGAGGGGGAGAAGAACGGGCTCCGTCGTGCCTCTTCTCTCGTCTTCTGCTCTTTCGCTCCCTGCCTGTATTAGCTTCCTGCGGAAGAGGTTCGCTCTCGCCCCGCAGATCAAAAACTGTATTAGCTTCCGGTGCAGCCCGCCGCTCGCTTTGACCAACGCCTGACCGTCTCGCACACCCTGGCTCCCGCGGGCTTACAGTGTGTGCGTGTGCGTGGTTGTGTGCGCGAGGATGGGCATTTCACAAGGCGTGCTCTAAGTGAATGACTCTCCATGACGGAGACGAGGCGTCAGAAAACGAAGCTCAAGATAGGAACCGGGCGGGGGCGCAGAGCAGAATGAGTCCGCAATGAAAGCGAACTGGGGCGGCCAGGGGAGGAGGGCGGGTGAGCAAGGAGAGGGAGGGAGGGGCAGGGGGCAGGAGGGAACGTGAACGGGCAGGGGGAGATGGGGGTGGTAAGACGAAGCCAGGACGAGAATCAACTCGGGTGAGGATGCATCGAGAATCTCTGAGATCTAGCGGCTCAGAAGGAGGTGTCAGGCGTCGCGGCCTTCTCAGAGCGTTCCAGAGCGCTCTGAGAGCGTTCTGGAACGCTCTGCAACGGACTCGTCCTGGTCCCAGCCCCGTCCCAAGGTTTCAAGGGGGAGGGCCCGGGGCTTCAGTGCCCGCCGTGGCAGCGACGGCGGCATTCGGCGCAGCCGCGGCGACGTGCAGACCAGCAGTAGAAGCAGGAGCGGCATCCCCATCGGCACCAGCAGCATAATCTGTATCGGCGGCATTGGGACAAGCGAGAGCGAGCGGCGGCGGCAACAGCATGGTCTGGTCCGACGGCGCGAATCCCTCCTTGAGCACCGCCCACTCCTCCCTCCTCCCCCACCGGAGGAACAGAAGGCAGAGAGGGGTGAGGAAGTATGGAAAATAGAGGGGAAGGAGAGAGGGGATGGAGGAAAAGGAGAAGGAGGAAGAGGAGGAGGAAGGAGATGAGGAAGAGGAGAAGGAAGAGAGGCAGAGGAAAGAAAGAAATGATGCCGAAGAGAGGAAGGGGAAGGGAAGGAGGGAGGAGAAGAAACGGAAAAAAAACATCCATCCACCATCCCTGCATCCAACATCCTCCTCACCTTATTGTTTCTCCTCCTCCTCCTCCTCCTCCTCCTCCTCCTCCTCCTCATCATCATCATCATCATCATCATCATCATCGTCATCGTCGTCGTCGTCATCGTCATCGTCATCTTCATCGTCATCATCATCATCATCATCATCATCATCATCATCATCATCATCATCATCCGCCCGCATCCTCATCCTCATCCTCATCCCCATTACCATCCTCATCACCTTCATCATTATCATTACCATAATCATCCTGATAATCATCATCATCATCATCAGCAGCAGCAGCATCAGTATCATCATCAGCCAGCAGCATCATCATCATCAGCAGCAGCATCATCATTCGCATCATCATCGGCAACAGCAGCATCAGAATCAACATCAGCAGCCGTAGCATCATCATCATCATCATCATCATCAGCATCATCATCATCATCATCATCATCATCATCATCATCATCATCATCATCATTATCAGCAGCAGCAGCAGCATCATCATCCGAATCATCATGAGCATAATCAGAATCAGCATCGTCGTCATCATCAGCATCATCATCGTCTCAGCATCATCATCAGCAGCAGCATCATCATCATCAGCATCATCATTATCATCATCATAATCATACATCTCCTCCTGATCCTCCCCTCCCCTTCCCCTCTCCTCCTCCCTTCTCCTCCCTTTTCCTGCCTTCTCCACCCTCCCTCCTCCACCCTCGCTCCTCCCACTTGCTTTCTTTTCCATCTCCACCCATCTCCACCCTCCTCCTCCTCCAAACCCCTCATCCTCCTCCCCACCCCTCCTCCTCCTCCTCCTCCTCCTCCTCCTCCTCCTGAACATCATCCTCTTCCTTCACATCTGGGAAGAGGGGACGGAACCACGCGGTCGCCCCGCAGGATGTACGAATAGCCCAGGGCCTCGAGCGCATCTCTGCGCTCCTCCAGATAGCTGCCGACGACCAGCGGATGGTCGGCGATAAAGTTGGCGTCGATGTCTGCATCCCACGGGAACAGGTCTGACGCACCGCTGCGGAACACGTTCAGCACGCTGGCAGACACGGGCACGATGATGTGCGACAGGGGCGCGATTCCGAGCCACCAGCCTCCGACGGCCTGGAACATGTCGCACAGACGCTTACGCGTGCACCAGCTGCACACCACACCGTGGTCGGCGACGAAGCCCGCCGCCGACCTGGTCGTCGGGAAGAGGCAGCGCTCCTGCTGCGGACTGGCCGGCAGGAACCGCGCCGCCTCGATGTGGAACGTCCGCGCGAGCCTGGCCGAAAGCGAGGCGCGCGCCTTGTACTCGTCCTCCAGGGACACCGCCTGCGCGAGGAACAAGAAGGTGCCGATACCACCACTCCAGGGACCGCTCCTGGGGTGGGCTCTGCCCCATCGTTCGAGGCAGATCCAGCCGTGGCGACGAGGGACTGGTACGGTCAAGTTTGTTCAGAGAGGACACGCGAGAGGACACCAGACCTTGCGAGGGCTGCATGCGCATGGGCCGCGACCACACAGGACGCAAGGGCACCCTTGATTTGACAGGGCCGCCCCACTCGTCAAACTCGGCTGTGTCTTTTCCTCCTCCCCTGAGCCTGCAAAAGCGTGTGCGCCCGGAGGCCCAGGGCCTTGCCAGCCAGGTCAAGCTCCACCAACCACGTCGCGGCATCCTCGGGGGGCTCCAGCGGGGCGTCCCCCCCGGGCAGGGCGGCCGGGTAGTCCTGCTCCCGCCGGCGCAGCTCGGCAGAGACCTCGCGGAGCGCGGCAGTGCTGTAGACCCTGGTGCCGGAGCTCGTGTCCCCCACCACCCAGAACTCGGCGATGGGTAGGTACTGCGAGGTCTCGTAGCCAGTGGCGTACTCTTCGAAGTCGAGCTTCCAGAACCTTCTGCGGCAACTCATGGGAGCCTCCCATGCCATATTGTTGGCGCTTGCGAACCAACGCGAGTCGACGATAATCGAAGCTAAATCGGCGCTATCTAATCGATTACCAGACGCTAATCGACGCGAGTGCATTTTAAAGACGCGATTGCGAAGGCACACAAGGATCCCACCATTTGCCACCAGACAGAACCTGTGCCGGGCCCGGCGCACGGGCCAGTTCCATACCCGAGAGCTGTTGACACAGGGCACGCCCGCCCACGGTATCTTGCTGCGCCACCTGTCCTGCTCCCGCAGCAGCAGCCGTAGGTCGTCGCGGAGCTCCTCGCGCCACTGCCAGGTCAGCGGGCTGACTATCAGGGTGCTCGCCCTCTCCGTGCTCGCTGGCGCGAGCGCGAGGACGGCGTCCCTGTAAAAAGCGGCGCAGGCGGTCCTGGTCTCCGAGGCCGACTCCGTCAGGCGCACGCGCGCGGAGCAGCCCGCGTGGTCGCACAGGCCCTGCAGCTGCTCCTCGATGTCCAGGTGGCCGCAGTACAGGATGTCGGTCTGGCGCGGGGCCGCCGTGGCGCCGAACGACTCCCAGGTGCGCGCCAGCCGCTGGAGCAGCTCCGGCAGCGGCCTGGAGAACAGCGCCCAGGGCGCCACCCCAGGGCCCTCGGCGGCGACGGCCTGGCGCAGCCGCGCCTGCGCCCGCGCGAGAAGCCGAGCGGCCGCGCTCCGGTTCGCCGAGGCGGCCGCCGAGACGCCGAGGGCCACGCCCTGGGCAAAGGCGCAGGCGGGCCGGCCCAGCAGCTCCTCCGCCGCGGCGGGCACGGGCGACCCGGCAGAGGCGCCGCCGACCAGGGCGTCCAGGCCTTCCAAGTCCACCTCGCGGCAGCCGGGGGGCCCGCGGGAGCTCTGCACCAGCGCGCCGATGACGCTCAGGACCTCCAGCACCGGCCAGCCGCTCTCGGCCGCCTCGGCCCAGCTGGCATCGTGCAGGAGGCCATCCAGATCGAGCCTGTGGCGCTCGAACCACGCGCCCCAAGGCAAGCCCGAGAAAAGCACAGACATCAGCAGCTGCACGGTCTGGCGCCCCAGGCTGCAGCGCCGGTGGCCGCCAAGCAGCGCCGCCAGGTCCTGGAAGCGTTCCAGGTGCCTCTGCAGCGCCACGTCGCCGTAGGAGACTAGCGGGTCCCGCCCCCCAGAATCCTTCGACGCGTGCAGGTCGCGTTCCAGCGCGCCCTCCCGGACTTGCCGCACGATGTGGCCGAGGTCCTCTAGACAAGCACGTTCCACTACTCGCAAAGTAAATACTCGCGAACGGTTCGGATCCGCCGCGGGAAAATGAACGGCCCATTATGTCGAGACAAACATGTGCATTATCTGACGTCTGCGAGTGGGCACTTCGCGGAAATTGGAACGCGCTCGGTGATCCTCGCGCACCACGTCCCAACTGATGCCGTCCTCCACGACACCGTCACAGTCTCTCAGCGCAGCGACGCCTGCCTGCAGCGCCACCGCCAGGCGTGCTCGGGAGCCCCAGTGGGCCCGAGACCTAAGCGGCGCCATGGCACGGGGAGCTGGCTTGCAGCGCCCCCGCCGGGCGCGCTGCGCAGCCCCATGGAGTCCGAGATTCAAGCGGTGCCATCCGGGCCCCGCGGCCACGGGCAGAAGAAGAGAGATCGGCACGAGCGTAAACGTTCGGAAATCCGCGCGAGTCTCTTGGATCCGCGCAGTGGACCCGCCGCCCCGCCGCGCAGAGCGCCAGGGGCGGCGCCAGAGCGCCTCCCCGGGGCCCTGGCGCAGATCCGAGAAACTCGCGCGGACATCTGAAAGTTTGTGCCTGCGCAACCTGTCTCCTTCGGACAACGCCCAACGCCCGCGCCTGAGCCAAAAAAACTACGACACGACGGTCATGGAGGGCGGCTTCTGCAGGTGGCGAAGAATTGCAAACCCTACCCCCACCACCCATCGAGTTGTCTAAATTGTTGAATGGCGGCTGAAGGAAAGTAGGGTTCGGGTTTCGCCGCCGATCCAACCCAACTCATGGGCAGCGGGCGCTCGGCCCGAGGGCCGAAACGCCGCCGCGGCCGCATGCCTCGCAGCGCGGCACATGGCAACGGTGGAGGGCACGTTTCGGCAGCGAGCGGTGGCGCGCCTCGAGAAGAAACGGAGGTGACAATCATGATGACGATGTTGATGATGACGACGACTGAAGACGATGCCAACGATGATGATGGTGAAAAAACGGCGATGGTGATGGTGATGATGACGCTGGGGACGCTGATGATGCTGATGCGGATGACAACTGTGATAATGATGGTGATGATGGTGATAATGAGGATGACGCTGATGATGATGGCGTTGCTGAACATGGGTACGACGAGGATGCTGATGATGCCGATGATAATGGTCAGGATGGCAATGATGATGGTGGTGGTAAGTCTGATGATGAATTTTCCCAGCGGGCCGATGGCGACGAATGAGGTGACACTCGATGAAGACAAACAAATTGAGGCAATGGTACACAACGGCTGAGACAGTCAGTTCAGGCACTGGGCGCAATCAGCGCAAGGATCGGCGCCAAGGATACAGCAGTCAAAAGCATTCAAAGCAAGAAGGAGGAGGAGACGACCAGACGCGATCGGGCTGTACACTGAACTCGGGGATCCACCAATAATGGCGTCGGCGACGGCAAGGACGGGCGGATATACGCTCGAACTTGTCAGGACCTCAGGCACGGGCGAAAGCAAACAAAACGAGGCGAGCCGATGTGTGCAGCCACGACCGAGTCACATCGGTTGTGCGCCATGGAGGCGACGACCGCTGAACACACCAAGGCGATGTGGCCGGAGCTCTACCCACGGCGCTCCAGACACACTCTGCGACCGCCCCCAGGGGGCAAGGCGGCAGCAGCATCCCGCCCGTGCACGTGTCCGCGAGGGAAGGCGAGCTGCGCGGGCCGCGGGAAGACGGGCACTTCCTCGCATAGAGGGCGGACACGGGAGGCTACGCTGCCAGCCCGGCGATCAACGCATCTTAGCCGCTGCGAGAAAACGCACCCCTAAGCAGTCCGGGATCCATGAGCAGGAAACCACGGCGAAGGGCAACCCCCAACCACCACCAGCAATGGCAGCAATGGCAGAGACAGAGCGGAGCAGCAGCAGGAGAGACACGCAGGAGGGGGCGCACGGCAACAGCAACAGCGACGTCAGCAGAAGCAGCAGGGGAGCACTCAGGGGGGAACACAGGAGAAAAAACACACACAACAACAAAAAAAACGCGGACACAACCTTGACAGAGAGCAGGATTCTCGACCTTGACATTGACAGGACCTCGCGCAAGCGAGGGCAAGCAGAGCATGGTGAGCGCAGAGCATGGTGAGCTGCACCCAAGCTTCAAACAGCACCCTCCTCCGAGAACAAACTCGAAACACCAGAGAAGAAGAAGACAATCAAGAGCAGCAAAGAGGCCAAAGAGAGGCGGCAGCACCCAGCGGGGAGTTCTTCTGATATGTCCATGTCCACGCAGGGAAACGCAAAAGAGAAGCTGACAGAGAGGCACGCTGCCGCGTCACCCTGTGGAGAGGCCACCAGCATCCAAAGAATCGAGGCCAGGAGCGAAGAAAAGAAAGGCAGCGACAAAGGCGCAACTGACGACCAAAAGGCAACACAGGCGACAGGCGACAGATAGGCGAAGCAGACCCTGATTTACCTGACAACCGAAGAGCCAGAAGAAAGGGAAGGGCAATCCGGAGCGGGGGAGAACCACGGCAGAACATTGACGCATCAGTGGGGAAACTCCTGGGGAGAGGCAGCCAATCGCCAACACATCGACTCCCGAAACACAGCGAGCGTCTCATGCAATGCTAATCCCTCGGCATAGGGTCCTGATGTGTTTTTCGTTTCAAGCTAGCTAGGTGTTTACTTACTGGTTTGACTTTGATCTGGTATCCTGGGCTCGTTGTCGTTCACATGCCGAATGTCGATGCTGCGATTGGACCTCTTGTCTCTGGCTCCTGTCATCCTGTGGTCGCTGCACCTGGCCTCTCTTGCCAATATTGCGCTCAGTGATGAGGGGCGGATGACTCTTGAACCTGGGCAGTCTAGCAGGGGCGATATGGCCTCCTCGAGCGTGTGGAATGCAGCCTGCGGCGTGCGGTCGGAGCTCTTCCAGCCGCAGGGCTGATGCGATCGACGAGTCTTGCCGACCAACGTGCGGGCCCTCCGAGGCTCCCATGACAGCCCAGGAGGCCCCCAAGACGGCCCCGGTCGCCGAACGATCGCTCGAAGACGCCCAAGATGGCGTCAAGGTGGCGCAAGAGGCTTCCAAGGCGCCCAAAAAGAGGCCTCCAAGAGGTCTGCCAAGAGTGGCCCCAAATGCAAAAGTCATAGCTTCTACGTTCGTTTTTGCATGATTTGGGCGCTCTCGCATTTTCGGATTCCCGACGCTCCAAGACGGCCCAAGAGGCCCTAAAGACCACTCCCAAACGGCCCAAGAAGCCTCCAAGAGGGCCCCAAAACGGCCTAAGAGCGCCCCCAGACGGCCCAAGAGGCGCCCAAAACGTTCAAAGAGGGCCCCAAGACGGCCCGAAAGGGGCCCCAGAGAGGGAACACGAACTGAAAATCCGAGCTTTCCGCCCTAAAGGGCCCCCAGGAGGCCTTAAGAGCCGCCCAAGAGCGCACCAAGAGGCCCCCAAAAGGCCCCCAAGAGGCCCCACAACGACCCAAAAGAGGCCCCAAACCTGCCTCCAAGAGGCCCCCGAAAGGCCTCCCACGAGATTCCAACGAACATCCACTAGGCTTATAACCCACAACCCGAGCGCAATAGCGGGACTTGCCGTAGACAGCTGGACCATAACTTAAGAGAAGGATGGGGAAAACGAGGAGAGGAATTGAAGATGGAAAAAGCCGAACTCTAAATGAAACAACCCAAAACGAAACGTCCGAAATGGACCCGATGAAATACGGTAAACTAAACAAGAAACATCGACAAACTATAACGGAAAGTCAATACAATGAAAACGCCAAGAATGAGCACGATCGGAGAAGACACGGAACCGCAGTGGCTGTGACAAAGGAGGGGGGCGGAGGCGGAAGAGTGAGCAGGAGGGGGAGACACCGAATCAACTGAAAGCAATCG